TCTTATTTTCATTCTTTTTGATTATTATTTATCTATTATATTCTTTTAATTTGTTTTGCTTTCTAAATTTCTTGGTAAATTTGAAAACTGATTTTTTGTGGTCGATCTTGCACTGAACCAGACCACATTTGAAACCAAATTAAAAGATGGCTTGTATTGAGTGGGATGAGTGAGCCTAAGTTTCTTCAATGTTTTTCTTGCAAAAGCATAGAAGAAAACTGATTTCTATCAGTTCTTGAAAAGGCTAGGTCATGATGGGTTTCTTGAGAGACAAGAGAGAAGAAGAGAGCAAGAATGTGGAGAGAGAGACGAAGATTGGTTCACCCACTTCTCTCTTTATCTCTATATGGAGAAAACTCCTAATCTAATTAGGAGATGATCCAAATATGATTTGGATTAGAATTTTTCTTTTCCTAATTAATAAACATTATCCTCTTAAGAGGACAAGTGCTCCATACCCAAATCCATACCCAGTTTTGACCCAAATCACAAGACAACTTAAGTTGCCATGTGAAAGCTTAACTAATTAGTGAACCCCTGAGCCAATCAACATGGGCTCAGTCTAGGCCATTTACACTTAAATGATCATTGGATTCATCCACCCTATGAAGAATTAAGGATAATGAATTTATGTTGGAGAAAGCCCATCAGGTAATCAGCCCTGTAATGGTCTCTTACACTTAACCTCTTAGCTCATAATGATCGAAACACTACTCGATAAGAATGGACCTCTCCCCTAGTTGCAAGGTGCAGTGTCACGTTGTTTACTTAGATGGATCTCGGGATTAAAACCCTTTGTAAACTTTTTTATAAAATAGTAGAATATAATATATAAAAACATTTTTCAAAACCAAATTTTAAACATAGGTGAAATTCACTACTAGTAGTTTAGGTTTCCATCAGAGAGAATGTAAACCCTAATATTCACTTTGCTTAACAAAGGGGCCAATCCTATCACTATGATCACCCACTTAGGTGAATTCTTAGACTTCCCCAACATACCCAGGTATTTGACCCTTGATGGATCTCATTGGTTGGCATATCAAAGACAGCCTAGTCCAACACCTAGTGCAATACCATAATCAAGTTTATGGTTATGTGTAACTTTCTAGTTTTATTCATCTATCTCCAAGGTCCAGGGCTTAACTGGAAATCATTCTAGGTTCATTACTTCTAATAAACACCCACTAGTTGTGTTTGGGGTCTCACCCTAATAGTTGAGACAACCTACTCCAACTGCTTGGCAATACACCAGTGTCAGCCTTATCAAGATAAACTCCCCAAGTCTATCCAATGGCTGAGAACATTCTAAATTAACACGAGTCTCTTAAATGTCTAGTTTAAGGGCTAATACATAGAAAACACACCAATTTGAACATGAAACAACAATGTACTTTATTCATTTACAAATAAATGTTTATGAACATTAATCTGATTGGAGCTAAGGGCATACACTGTTTAACATGCCTATCATCCTCATGGGTTCTATCGCCACTACCTGGTTCTCAATTGCCATGTCCAAGGGCAAACTCTTCATGTTGGAGAAAATCTTTGGTATCATTTGCACTTTTGACCCAGAGAAGAAGATATGGGGAGGTCCGTTAAATTTACATTGCCCAAAACCATATGTGCTTTGTTCTGGAGAAGAAGACTGAAGTCTTAATCCATTGTTCCCTGTCAAACTATCAGATATTAGTCTTGGTTATAGTATATTGGCAACTCTAAAAATTTCCATCATTACTGTGTCATGTATCTCAAAATACAAGATATAGTCAAACATTGAAAAAGAGAAATGGAGTCCTGGTCAAAGTGGTTTGAATTGGTATTTTAATGTACAAGTTTTCTTCCTTTTTAATTGAAAAGGAGAGGGGGAATCAAAATTCATATGCTGAAGTGCAGTGGGTTTCAACCTAGTCTTCAACACCTTGCTATGGTAGAGAAGAGGAAGGGGAGAAAGAGGGAATAGAAAAGGCCTTCGGACGAGTGAACGATTTTAGTTGGGTGGGTGGGAGAAGTTACCAACAACATCGAAGGCATCAGGGTTTGGGTAGTCAACTATGAGAACTTCGATTATAAGGCGAAGGGGAACATTCTAGGGAAGATGGTCAAGAGGCTAACAAATGAGGACTATTCCTTTCCATCATCAATCAGGATATTGACTATGGAAGAATTCATTTCCAACCTCATCTCTACTTCATAGCTTTTCCCAAATCAACTTGGCTAGATGGACCGACTACGTGCCATGTCCCGTCTTCGACAACCCAACGCATCAGTTTTGTGTAAAGATCAGGTTCTTCGCTTTTCTAGATTTGGATCCTACGGGTTCCTTAAATTTCTTTGACATTTTTTTCTATCTCTAATTAGTAGAGGATATCTTATGCATATTTTCTACACTAGCAAGTGCACTAGCTGCTCAAGTAATAAAGTGATGAATAGAGTATCGTTTCCCACGAGGACTTATGTAGCAACTACTAGTAGTATATCAGCCTACTCTTATCTGATTAGCCGAATTGTAAATCTAATG